TGCTCTATTTATGATGTTCTTGTTAAAGAGCCGACAATTCATGTTATTTATAAGAAGCATTGACCAGGCTTCTGTTTGAAGTGAAGAGAAGGTGAACTCATAAAAGCTTTCGAATTTTGTCAAATGGAAAAGAATCTCGTTTGTTCAGTTTCTGTTCTCTTTGGTCACATAACCTCTTTAGGAGATATGATGGAATGTTACGATCTCCTACCTACCTGTTTATCCCTCTAGTTTAAATTATGAACAAAATTCTTGGTTGATTTTCACTGAGACTTTAAGCCGATATCTTTACTTTGTCGTTGTAATTACTTTTTCACCTCTTCTCCATAATAATTAATTATAATTTCTGTGAACAGGCCTAGTTACTTGATGATGGTAGTTAGTACAACGTAGCTAGCAAGAGTAACTTCCGTGAATAATAAAGTTCATATTGAAATCATTGTTTATAACTGATCGTGATCAGTTTATACTGTAATCTGTCACAGATTTGTAACGCCTAGAAATCATTGTAAGCGTCTTAGTTTTGTTAAATTAACAATAAAATTTTTAAAAAAGAAGAATTGTGTTTATTTCTCATTTGCTATAATTATTTTCCTTCTAAAGAAGTTGTGTAAATGTCAACTTCTTGGAGATACAACACTTAACAATTTCATCGACGTTTGCATGAAGGTCAGGGCAAGATGGTTTTGAAAAGTTTCATTCAAGAATCTCCTTCAAATAATGCTACAACTTTCCTTGAAGTTAAAAGACCAACTTTTTGTAATACAACTGACCTCAAATATACTTCTAATGACAAATAATTATATCAATGGTTGCACTGGTTTGTATAGAAGAGGGAGTCTCTAAACTTAAGTTGTATTTAATCAAGTATACTGATTTCCTTCAAAAATTTTACTTTTTTTAATTTGACAGAACATTTTGCAAACCCTAGCTTCAGATAGCTTGAAAAAAAAATTGTTTCTCCGCTGCTTCTTTTTTGTTCCGTTCATTTCTCTTAGTGTTAAATATCTGTAAAGAAGACCAATGCAGACGTGACTCAGCCTAATTTTACCTCTGGGAAAGACCATTCCTATTATTCTTGTACCCTTTATCATAACTGAACAGATGTTCTAGAGAGATGAATGATAATAATTAACAATTATTCCGCGAGTGCGCGTTGGATATGAGCGTAGCGTCGAGTTGGCTATAATCATCTCATATTCAACAAGAGCGAGTGGAAAAATTGTTTTATTAAACGCCCATAAAAACCCCAAAAAATATCGAGAATTCTTCCCGACTTTGTCTGTAAAAACAACCGATTTTCAGCTTGTTTTTAATTTTGAGCAGACGCGCCGGCACAGTTATCGTATTTGGAGTGCATGGTATAATGGCTCACATACCATGACGGCTAAGCCAATCAGAGCTCTTGAATTGCATTATCCAATGATTCAGTTTTTGATAACACCCAATACCCACTTCCCGAAACCCTCGATCCAGAGAACACAAAACTTTATTTTACTCTGAGTTAAACTGTTATTTCGAACCAAAAGGGCTCAAAAATCATGGCGCCATACATACCTGTATACACTGTAACAAATACAAAATTATCTGAGTAGATATCACAACCGCTTTTCAGTTAAAAAGTTAGATTCCTCGCTGAAGAACATCGTAACTCTTAAACTTCTGATGTTCAGGATTTTTTTTTTCGTAGACGTGCTGTTAGAATGCTTTTACTTTTAAACTAAACAATCCTTTACGGATATTCGGACGCCTCATCTGCTTGCTTTGCTTTATTTCTGTTTTGTTTGTTTGTTTGTTTGTTTGTTTCAATATAGCTCAGAGTTAAAATCAACATTTATCTTAAGCACAAAGTTTCTGAATATCAACAGGAAGACATTAACCTATGTTTAGCAATGTAGCTGGAGAATTGGTTCCTGTTCGGAATCTTGCCATAACAAAACATCTCAGGAATAGATCTCTTGTTTTTTCTTTCCACGTCTGACATTATCGGCATTTTGAACTGTCGACGAAGATGATCCTAAAGTTGTAGTTAATGCACCATACAAGCCACTGGGGCCGTCACTCCGTATCGTGTTCGATACCTTGTTCGATAGTACGATAACTAACATTCTAACTGAACTGCAGTTAAAAAACAGAACCCATAATAGAGATCCAATATGTATACCTACAACCCATCCGGGGATATTGGTTTCAGTAGACGGGCATTATCAATAATGGGCTCGATTTAAAAATGTCACTCAATCGCAAACTCTGTAAATAATTTCAAGGACGCCCAACGACGGTTTCCTGCTAAAGGAATTGTAAAGACTTTTTAGGCTATCTAGTACCTTTAGATCTCTAGAAAGCCGGCATTTTTAGCGGCGCTATAAAAATACGGTATCTGTTCGGTCATCCAAGAGCAACTTGAGTCTTTTCGAAATGATTATAAAGGCTTCAGTATTATTTTCCAGAAAATTCCAAATGCCATTTAAAGTTTTACGAAACTGAGAATTCTTCTGATTCCTCTCTCCATCGCATTTTCGAATCCGAAAATTTTAGGTTTCCTTTTTCTACGAAATATAGCTTAACCTGCGCGTAGGAAAATTTACTTAAATAAGCTTCTAAAATTAGTAGTCATCTAGAAATTTTTAGCATTCCTCAAGCTATAGAAAATTCTAGGCAATTTTTGCTTCTCCGAACAGATATTTTACAGAAAGCAGTCATTGCCTGTCAGTAATTTGCATAAGCTTTTCTCTATGTTCCGGGGAGGGGGGCTGTCCTGGTCATTTCTGGTGGGGGTAGGGTGTGCGCTATATGTTGTTAAGAGAGCTGGGTTTGAAAGAACACAAAACCTTACCGTATTTTATATCCACACGATTAAATTCAATACCCAATTTCAAAAGGAAGAGCTGCACATACCGATACAGCTTATATAAGGGAGTACCATACTGACCCCCCTCCCTTCTGGGCTCTGTGTATCACAGACTGTTGCTCAACCGACTATACTTTCATTCACTATGCTTCCATTCTTTTATTTTAAAGACGGTTGGCTTTGCACAAGAAAGCTTGCTTTGCATAATTCAAGGACATTTCTTTATAGCTAAACAGAAGCTCTAAAACAGTTTTTCGCGCTCAATTCGTTTCCTCGATAAAGCTCATTATTACGTCAGTTAAGCAAAACGGAATGTTCTCAGACAGATATCGAATATCATATCTAGTGGCACTTCCTGATAATATACTTAAAAGGAATTTGACTTGCTGTGACAAGTCGAGATTTTTTCGTTACCTTCGACGAGTGTTCAATCTTCCGTTCAAAAACTTTCAGTTTGGATTTAAAGGACAACGTAAATTCCCCTGATACTTCGCCCAAGGATTGAGATACATTACAGACGAAATTGCAAGAAATTAGAAGAGGAGCTATTAGTATATTATTAAGAAGAAAGGAAGGGTAAATTTTAAGAAAAAATCTCAAAATAAGTTATCTTTCATTAAACGAACTTTCCGGTATTGAAGCAGAAGTAATGTGTTCTTAAATAAGTTTCCTTTTGGACAGAAAAATTATTGAATGTTTTCTGTTTAACGACACGCGATACTACAGCGGAATACGTCTGAGAATATAACATGATTTTTCAAAAGTATTTCAGCCAGGGAAAGATGTGTTACAAGAATAAACCCAGACAATTTACCCTTACCGAAAAATGATGATGCGACGCTGCATTGAGTTACATCTTCCACTGACCGAACTAGTTTTGTAGTCGGTAACACCACCCATTCCGGAGTCCATATAATCTATATCTATACAGCATTACAGAATATACCATATGTGATGGTAGGAAAGAATATTTCCCAGAATATGATATGATTGGAAGTAAATCGACTAGGGAAAGATTTATCACAGGAATAAATCAAAATTCACCCTTACAGAAAATGATGGAAGACGGGTTACGTCTTCCTCTGCGGTTGGCATATAAGGAGGACCAAGGGTTTAACTCTCAGTCAAACAACCTCTCACTGCAAAGAAGTTAACCTAAAATCAACTGAGTGAAAGGTAAGTAAAATGTCATTTTACGCTATGTATCTCTGCGCGCTAAATTATTCTGGGTACCCTGTGTGCATATGCGATTGAAATTACGCGCACTACTATTCGGCTAAACAGTTTCTCTGTTTGTTCTTATGTGTTGGGCTCTGCTCGTATATTCCATCAAAATATTTCATTAAACAATAAACATTTAATTACTGGTCCCTCGGGAAACAGTTAATTTTGCTTCCCTCGAATCTCAATGTTCCCGCCTCGGGAAAAAATGGGGGTCGGGTTATTTAAACGAAGTCTGCTCTAGACCGCGGTTTAGCAAATCTTTGGACCTCGAGATATCTTCCTTAGTGGGTAATTTTAAGAAAATAAGTGCTTTTCCAGTCTACGCCTTATGATTTCATGAATCTTTTCACAATAAATGGTGTTTAGATAGAAGTATTTTCGAACTGAAAATGACTTAGCACGCGGTTTTGTTAAACACTGGCTAATATAAACTCCGTTTAAGTAACTGGCCCTGAGATTCTCGGGAAACAAAATTAACTGTTTCCCGAGGGACCAGGTGGAAATTTTGAAGCTGGAAATTCATTAAACCTCGCTGTAACGCTGGTCGTCGGTCAACATTCGTGGGTAACAGCGCCCTCTTACCCTCTAATGACATAGATTTTGATAACCCCATGAGTGATTGCAGGATAACAATACTTACATCCTCCCGAAAATTTGCAATAACAAGCTGATTTTAAGCAAGTAAAAATTTTTCATCTTATTCTTTCTGGATATACCAACCCATCCCGTAATTTCACGAACTTAGTTTTTGTGACGTCATCACTCTATTTCTCTATTAGCCTACGTTTTTAGACGCAAATGGATACACTCGCTTTCATGTTAGGGAGAAAATACACTGATATGCGTGTACCTATTTTTTAAAACATATTCCGAATTTTTTAATGTCTTTTTTATATTTGTATTCTATCCTCTTTTACAGAGCAAAATGGAACTCCTAAAGATCCTTATCACTACCATTATTGCGTCAACATTGAGGTCACAAAGTCTAGGTGCTCCAATGTATTCAACACCAAGTACGCTACAAAGTCTTGTCACTTATCTGATTCCGCAGAAAACCGCCAACGCCACACAAGAGGTATGTTCTTCGGTAATTGCGCGAAGGCCTTTCCCACAAACAAAGTTAAAAAACAGTAAGAGTGAAGAAATAGGCAAGCAAAAAAACTAGCTGTATTTTCACACCACGAAAAGCGAAAGAGCGTAGTTATGGAATTGTAAATAAAGGTTGGGTTAGTCTTGTTTCTTTTTTGTTGTTGTTGTTGTTCGAACATGACCAGAAAACGGCTTAAACGGGCTATGTCACACACTCTGCTATCTTTTTAAAAAGCGAAAAATTTTTTGGCATCAATTTTATTCGAAAAAAATGGTCCAGTTTTATTATCGAAGACTATGTTTAGGCATAAAAACTGTCTCCTCTCGTCTATTGCAATGGATGGCAAGGAAGGTCATGGATTAAGACGGGAAAAAGGCTGGGCCAACTTTTTCTAGATTCAATGCTATGCATGCAAAAATCACTAACTTTTCCCGGATCAACAGATTTAATGTTTGATGCATGCAAAAAAACATGAGATGCACTCAAAATGAAAAACGCGCAGCGGAGTGACGAACTTTAAGGTGTTTCATCTGGTGATGAAACACTTAATCCTCAAACAAAATCATTTTTAAAGGATGAAAAAATGAGCAGTTTTTCATCTGATGAAATATTAAACATTAATTTCCTTTGTTTTCTCTATGAATTATTAATGAGTTTGAGAAATCTTCATAACTTTATAGGAGCATTTTGTGTACGGGTCACAAAGAGTGCTCTAAGTAATGACTTCAGCACAGAATTGACCTAAACCCGCCACAATATCCTGGTGACTGGATAGCCCCTCTAAGGGACAGACCATTAGAAAAGTTATGGGGGGAGGGGAGGGAATTTTCGAGCCGCAGGAATTTTTTTTCGTTATCAAATTCTTTGTATGAATTTTTTTTAGGCCATTGCATGAATAGTTTTAGTGTTAATTGGCGTGCATGATTTTTTTTTCATTTAATTTTCCCTTGCGCGAATATTTTTTTTTTGTACTTCGCCCCCCCATAAGTTTTCTAATGGTCCGTCTCTAAGTATAGCTTGCAACGGTTTTTTTGGAGATACGTCTAGGCGTGAATGGTTTTATATATAGAAAAGTATGTTGGAAAAAATATTTGCCAAATATTTTTTTCCAACATACTTTTCTTTTTCGGTCTTGACATGAAAGATATTAACCATCGTGGATAATGCGTATAAAGGGTTCAGCTTTTATCGTTCGTCTCACGATATTGATCGCGACGTTTCGACCACACATTACAGGTCTTCATCAGGCGATGATGAAAACCTGCAGTGTGCGGTCGAAACGTCGCGATCGATATCAAAGTGACAATCGTGAGACAAACAATAAAACTAAACCCTTTAATATTTGTCTTGTTTGAAGAAAGACCGTTTGTGCTAGCCTCACTGACTTCTCAACCTTCATAAACCTTGACTACAACTTTTTTCTCCGTTTAGTTTTCTGTAGAAAATAGCATCGCAAATTGATAACATTTGTCTCTCTTATTCTTATCCTTATTCTTATTTTTTTTTTCAGATGAAAAACCTTTATCAGTTCATCACATCGACAAGCTATCTTAAAGAGCCACCTTTCGCGAAATTTCCACCACAAATCAACACACAATCTTGCACATCAAATCAGGTACCATTGGAACTTCTATCTCAGCTATCTATGTACTTATAAACAGTTTGTTTGTTTGTTTGTTTGATATCCAGAAAGATATATTCCCAGTTTAAGGAGGTTTCAAGCCTTTATTGAAGGGCGTTTGAAAGTTTTTGCATGCAATAAAATATTGAATAAGTTATACAGTTCTAGACTCTCTGTAAGATGTGCATTTTAATATAACAACCCTCTGTCTGCAGCTATTGAAAGACAATGCAACAATCGCCTACGAGAAGATGGATATCTTCAAAAGTCCACTGTACATGGCCTTATCTTATGAAGAAAACCAAGGGCCGCTGCACAATTCGCTGGCTCAGGTGCTCTGGGACATAAGCACTTACGTCAATGCTTCAACTGTGATGCTCAGCCGTGAGGTACTAATAAGAAGCTAATTTTAACTGCTTTCAGAGTAAAATAAACTTGCGAATTTCACTCTCCGCCACAGAGGCTCTTATCGATATTCCAAAAGAAAGCGTTATACAGGGACTGGAAAATTTGTGAGAGGGTTCGTTATATCGAATTTTTTTTTCATATATTGTACTATTGCTGGGGCGAAGAATATCATTCGTTACAGCGAGGACTCCGCACCTAGAGGTTCGTTTATCGAGGTTCCACTGTAAAGCAAAAGTAAGAAGCCCGCGGAGGACAATGGAAAGAGGGAGCTCTGTTTCTCTTTACCTACCCATCGTCCCTCGCGCGCTTTCTTTTTACCTCTTTCCTCAGCTATCTTAGCACGGAAGATAGAGGGGTTAAATCATGCTTATTTGATCCCAAATTTCTCTGTTCCGTATCGATCACAAAAGCCAACTGGTCGAGTTTTGCAGCCTAAGAAAGTCAGAAGTATCACGCTTCTTAAGAATACTACTGGCCCCATTTGTTCAAACGTTGGATAGCGCGATCTATCGGATAAATCATTCTCCAGAAGATAAGTATTGGGGAAACCAATTGTGCTATTCACTGGATAGAGATTTATCCAGTGGATAGCGTTATCAACCTTTCGAACAACTGGGCACTGAAATAAAGAATCTATTGAACATAAGAATATAATACTGATCTATTGAATTCAATACACTAGTATTTACAGCTGAATTTACACCTCTCAAACCTAGTCGAAATGAAATAGTTTTAGGAAATGTAGCATGTTACGTAGCCTGTGCACAGACACCCCCTCCTCTGTACACAGGCTTCATGTTAGGCGCATTAAGTATAAAAGACACACTTTCCATTAACAACTTGATTTTTTACAAACTTTTCAGATGCAAAACAAAGGCTTTCCTGTACCCACTACTGCATACGGAAATTCTACGGCGCAGATGAACCGAGATATTCGCGTATATCTCCAAGCCCTTGTTAATATCAACTTGCTGGTAAGCTATCTCATAAAACAACTATTATTACTTTAAAACCCGGCCCTAAAAAGACATTGGGATCGAAAAGATCCTGTAATAATGGTTCCTTTTTATTCAAAATCACTCTCCTACTGTACTGGAACTAAAAGTCAGTATGAAATGATTTTCTATGGCCAGGATGGAGACGGATCGCAACTTGATAAAATTGGGCCACCTTTTTCAAGTAAAGCTCCTGAGTTGTCGAAAAAAGACCAAAAAACGATCATGCTATGGTTTTCTTTTGATAGAATCATCTAATGTCTTTCTTTCAGAAACCCAAGTATGGAAAAACATTCCTTAGAAAACTAGTAATAATTTCGGCTCAGCTCAGTGTGTGCCCTTTAAATATGGGAGTAACCCAACCCCCACCCCCCCTCTCCCTAGGCCTGGGACAGGGACCTGTTGATCATTCATGCTAATGTATGCTTTATCGCGTTTGGCTGAGATGAAAAAAAATGTCTTCAAAAATGTCTGAAATGAAATCCCTTCTTTTTTACAGAAAGGCCCGATTACCGATGACAAGGTGACGATTTACAGGAATTACGTCGTACTCCACTCGCTAAGTGGCGTCATTAAGGAGGCCGCCGTTTGTGTGTACAATTTATGAAGGAAAAAATAGATTGCGTTGCGTCGTGGATTACAAAAATAGGACGTCATTATTATTTATTACTTATGAAGGAATCCATAAGACTACGTTTGGAAAAAATTTGATAATTCTATTTAAAAAGCACCTTTAATGTTATTTAAAATAAGAAGCGTTTAAGCTCATGTCTGAATTGCAGAAATGAAATGATCTCTGAGAGGTCCAATCATTTCTAAGTAGTCTTCTGTCTAGCTTAATGACCTTAATGTTAGTTAAAAAGGAATAAGTTGATGAGTCTGTAGATTCACTGTACTATTTTTGACCGCATTTTTTCCCGCTTATCTTGCCCTTGTCGACTAAATTATAGTAACTTCAATTTTTATGAAGTCATTTACAGCACGAAGTAGCTTAGTTATCTGAGTTTAACGACAAAGTCCATATTGAGATCATTGTTTGTAGCTGACCATGGTCAGTTTATACTGTAATCTGTCACAGATGTTTTAACGACTATAATTTATTCTAAGCTTCTTGTTGTTAAATTAACAATAAAATGCTATTTAATAAAACTATCATCTGTATTTTTTTGCTTCAGTCCCCCTTTATTACTTCCTAATGACTTTGTACACTTGTGCAATCTTATGATGACACCCTCTTCGGAAAGCAAACGCTTCACACTTCGGACTAATCTTGAGTCTAAGAAGCCAGTAGGGAGTTTTATTACCATACCATGAGAAACGAGGGACTTATCACTAAAGTCCTCTAACGTTTTCGTGTAAACTACGCGAGAATTATCAAAGTTCACTCACCGGTGAATAACACAGGCTCCAACAAAAAAAGAGATAAATAAATAAACTCAAGATCTTAGCTGAGAGAGAGCTGTGAAATAAACTCAGTTGAGAAGCATCAAATGTTTTTTCAAGAAGTGGGTAAATTGCAAACTTAAAAATTTTAACCCTTTAGGACCTTATTAGAGTGTTCAGCATCAAATTTCGTCCTGTTATATCTCTACTTTATAGGCGGAAAAAAAGTGGTCACAAGAATTAAGGACCTGATCACAGAGGAATGAATTAAACTGATACTTAAACAACTTCTCCCTATTACGTCTGAGGGAAATGCGATGTGACAACAAACGAGAATTAAAATTTTGCATCAGGGTTAATCATTTCAGGTTCATTGCACATCGTGATCCTAGCTAGAGCGCATTTGCGGTCACCATGTTTGTAAGGGTCTATCAATTATGTGATACAAAACTGCCGTGCTTACGAGTTTCCCGATGTCATGACGCATTACTAAAACTAGAAGTAACGTGATTGAAAATTGCAAGTGGAAAAGCATACTTTAAGACATGTTATATGATTAACGCTTATTCTTATTCTCTTATTTTAATGACCATAAACAGATACCACACAACTTGGGCACAACTTGTGCAGCTCAAACTAATTTTCTTTTTCAAAGTATACCCGGATGAGATTTCTTCAGTTGTACGCCTCAAAAAAATTCCAAAACCTTTAGTTTCAAATTAGAAACTCAGTGCAGTTTCTAGATTGAAAACAGAGATTGCATGGTTTAATCATTTGGTTCTTTAAATCTTTGACTTTCTTGTTTTCGTCTCAACTATAACCAGAAAACGGCTTTAGTATATCTTTCAAAAGGCGTCAGTTTTTTCACGAAAAGTCCAGGAACGAATGGGCTTAAACAAAACTCTCTTGTTTTAGGAAATATGTTGAAGAAAATCTTTGTCGTGTTTATACAAGACGGTTATTTGTTTCTGATTTTTGTCAACTTTCACTCCTAGCCACTGGCAGGGAAAAATATAGTTTTGTTGTTGTTGTTCTGGTTGTTGATTTTTTAGGTACCCTTCAACAATTCTTTGAAATTGAGAATATTTCTCTCTTTAATTACTTTTTTCCGATGAAAAGTCTTTATCAGTTCATTGCCTCGACAAGTTATCTTCAGGAGCCCCCTTTCAGCCAGTTTCCACCACCAGTCAACACACAATCGCGCACATCAAATAAGGTATCTACTCAGACTTTCAACCCCCCTGCTGTTTAAGTATTTAACGTACTGTTGCTAAACCTCTAATATGTTAGTACTGTGGCACTTTTTACTTCATTTGGGGATCAAAAATTCAAACCACAAATAAAACTTTTTTTCGATCCCAAACGTTCAGTCCTTGCAAATCATTTGCGCAAGTCAAACACTTTAAGATGTTTTAAAATAATTCCAAGCTAATAAAAATTCGTCTAAATTAACCTTCAAGGCGTCTTACTAGTTTTCATGATCAGCTCCTTTTCACTGCTTCATATGTGTTAAAACAGTCAGTCTCGTGTTTGATACATTTCATGAAGTCATGAGTATTGTAGTATCAGGTTATCAATAGAGGATTCGTACAATCACGTCATCTACGTGCTATTAATTGAAAGGAATTGCGAAAAAGTAGCAAATCTCTTCTTTGCTCTTTGATGTTTATGTATTTATTTACTTATTGACGCGTTTGCTTAAATACATGTTTTTGCCACAAAAATAGCGAATAAAAGTTATACAGTTCTGGACCCTTTATAAGTAATAATGCATATCAATACTTTTTTTCTGTCTGCAGAATTTAAAAGACAATCTAACTATCGCGTACGAGAAGTTGGATATCTTCAGAAGTCCTCTGTACATGGCCTTATCTTATGAAGTAAACCAAGGACCACTGCACAGTCTGCTGGCTCAGGTGCTCTGGGATATAAGCACTGACGTCAATGCTTCATCTGTCCTGATCAGTAGTGAGGTAACGAATATAGCCAGAAATTTCACTGTATTAAAGGAAAAAAAATAATAATAGAAAAAATCATGAATAGCTTTCCCAAACTCACTGATTCGTGGATAGCGAAGGTTTTGACAAAAGTCAAAAATGAAACCCCAGAGAAAAATTTAGTACCCTTAATCATTTGTAGTCTTGAGCCTCCCTTGCTGTTCTTACGTCACCTCATACCTTTTCTATATATGACAAATATGCCAAACATCCAAGTATAGACAGTCAAACCTCCATGTGCGCCCACCACTCGTGAGCGACTACCTCCCATAAGCTACCATCTATACATATGACAAAATTTTTCCAGTCAAAGTTAGAACCACTCGTAACCGACCACATCTTGTGAGCTACTGTGACCCCTGGGCCCAGGGCTGTGACCACTTTTTGGGCTGACAGTTTTATAATTGTCCATTTTTTTTTTAACCTCTTTTACGCGACCGCTTGACTCATGGTTTGATCTCTATGTTCACTGTGTGCAGTGCGCTACTCAGACATTGTGAAGAGTCTATAACGAGAAAGCGGAACTATACACATGTGCGATTAATTATCTACCAAAAAGTATATGTATCGAGATCTCCCCTTGGAAGGGACCACCTGTGGCCCGATTCTCGTAAGAGACCACTAACTCTTCGCATTTTGGGTAGTCGCCTAAGGGAGGTTTTATTGTTTTAAAAAAGCGCCTTCAGTTCTTATAGTCTATCACAACTTTTACTGGAAGTGAAATACGGCTTAGGGAATGCGGAGAATGCCATGGCTATAAACATTAAAAACCCTTCTTACAATGTCAACATTTTTGCAAACTTTTCAGATGAGGAAAAATAGCGTTCCTGTACCCACTGCAGTAACTGGAAATACTTCGGCTCAGATGAACCTGATCATTCGCGCACACCTGCAAGGACTTGTTAACAATACCTTATTGGTAAGCTATCACTCATACAAATTATTTTCATTACTATCTAAGAAATTGCGAGTAGAAAATACCCCGAGACCGTCAATTCGAGAACAAAGTTAACGTCGGTGTTGCCAAGGGAACTGGGTCACTGCTTTAGGAATTTCACTTAACTGGTCGCAATATTTAAAGAAACTCTTACTTCTGTGAAAAAAAAATCAAAACAAAACAAAGCAAAAACCTTCAACAGTGAAATAAAATTAAAGAAACAGGGGATAGCTTGAATAAAAGCAAAAATTGAGGATAAAATGAAGAGAAACTTCAAGTTAAAAATGACGACGATGACAATAATGGAGATCCAAACTGAAAAACATCTAGCGAAATTATCTTTTTTGTTCAATTTTGCCTCGTTTTGAATGCAAATGTGATTTACAATGTGAGGAAATAATTTCTGCCTGTTTTGTTTTGTAACCGTCAATTTGTGAATAAAACAGTATCTTACGTTAAATCTTGAATTTTTAGTTAACGTTTTTTTAATAACCTCCTGGGTTTTCGTTTAAAAAACCTTCCACATTTTTCAGATATCTGTTTTGTTTAATATATTTTTGCTGAGTGAAAATAGAAAAATCGTGAACCTGAAGTAAAATCTCTCTCTACAGCAAGGTCCTATTACAGATGACATGGTGCCGATTTACCGCAATTACGTCGTTCTCTACTCGCTAAGTGACGTCATTAAAGAGGTCGCCATTTGTGTCTACAACTTATAAAACGAAAAAAAAGATTGCAGTGCACCCTGGAATATCCTACCAAGACCAGTTCATTATTTATTATTTATTGACCAAACGTTATAGCTCTGTTTAAAAAAAGTTGTGATTTTTTTAACCATAAATTGCTCTATTTATGATGTTCTTGTTAAAGAGCCGACAATTCATGTTATTTATAAGAAGCATTGACCAGGCTTCTGTTTGAAGTGAAGAGAAGGTGAACTCATAAAAGCTTTCGAATTTTGTCAAATGGAAAAGAATCTCGTTTGTTCAGTTTCTGTTCTCTTTGGTCACATAACCCCTTTAGGAGATACGATGGAATGTTACGATCTCCTACCTACCTGTTTATCCCTCTAGTTTAAATTATGAACAAAATTCTTGGTTGATTTCCACTGAGACTTTAAGCCGATATCTTTACTTTGTCGTTGTAATTACTTTTTCACCTCTTCTCCATAATAATTAATTATAATTTCTGTGAACAGGCCTAGTTACTTGATGATGGTAGTTAGTACAACGTAGCTAGCAAGAGTAACTTCCGTGAATAATAAAGTTCATATTGAAATCATTGTTTATAACTGATCGTGATCAGTTTATACTGTAATCTGTCACAGATTTGTAACGCCTAGAAATCATTGTAAGCGTCTTTTTGTTAAATTAACAATAAAATTTTAAAAAAGAAGAATTGTGTGTACTGTCGCAATTTGTAATAATCATCGCACTTTGTAATACCTGTCGCAATTTGTAATAAATCCATCGCACTTTGTAATACCTGTCGCAATTTGTAATAAACCGTGTCGCACTTTGTAATAAAAAAGCTGACGCAATTTGTAAAAACTGTCCATCGCACTTTGTAATAAAGTAAGCTGTCGCAATTTGCAATAATTCCATCGCACTTTGTAATACCTTTTTGAGAGTAATCAAACTTACTTCGTCAACAATAATATAATGCCAAAATATGCATGGTACTTTATAAACAAAGATGATGACGTCAGCTAGCACGTAACATCTCCGCTCATTCAAACATTTAACTTTATTCACCGTCCTAAACATTTTTTTTAGATTAATGTTGATTAGTTATCTGACTTACGAAATGCTGTATTCTTAAACCTTGCTATTGTACTAGGTGGTTTTCATTCAATGGTTACCCGGCGGGTGTACTTCCTTATATGGCCAATATGGGGATGTGCCTCTGGACAGAGCGTTGTCAGAGTACAGAATCTAGACACACTAGACACAAAGGAGCCATTATTAAAAAGCATTTAATTTCCGCAAATCGTAACATCCATCCTACGTCATTCGAATAAGGACACCAGGAGATTTCAAGCTTTCCTTGTTCCATCTTACAACAAGTCGACACAACACGTGGTGCACCGTCCTTGTCTAACGCGCAATCTTAAAGAAGTAATAGTGGCTTCCATATTTTGGCCAAATTAATCAAACGAGGCCTGGAAAGATTGAAAATGTTTACTGCAAATAATTAAAAAAACGTCACCAGTGGCAAACCGTCGAACCACAACAGAAACCTAAACACAAAATCCAATTAGTTGCTGGCCAATACCTTCGTATGCACCTGTTTTTATAACACTCACTGGGGGTCTTACACTGGTGAATCCTTTTTCAAAAAGGATTCACCAGATCAAAAATACGGACTTGGATTTGCCGAAAGGAACACGAAATCCGTTCTTAGATCTAAAATCCGTTTTTGGATTCACCGAAAGGAACACACCCTTTTGGGCGTTTTTAATAAAACGATTATTCCACTCGCGCTTGTTGGATATGAGATGATTATAGCCAACTCGGCGCTACGCGCCTCGTTGGCTATCCATCATCTCATATCCAACGCGCCCTCGTGGAATAATTGTTAAATAACCCTCGATCCAGAGAACACAAAACCTTATTTTACTCTAAGTTAAACTGTTATTTCGAACCAAAAGGGCTCAAAAATCATGGCGCCATACAGACCTGTATACAATGTAACAAATCCCAAATTATCTGAGTGGATGTCACAACCGCTTTTCAGTTAAAAAGTTAGATTCCTCGCTGAAGAACATCGTAACTCATAACTCTTAAAGTTCTGATGTTCGGGGTTTTTTTTTTCGTAGACGTGCTGTTAGAATGCTTTTACTTTTAAGTTAAACAATCCTTTACGGATTAAATGCTTTTCAACGTAACAACGTGTGGTTGAAAAGCTGTTGCATTACGTTTCGTAGCATTCTTTTCACATTTGTGTCAACCTTTTGTTCTTAATTACTCAGTCTTTTAATAGAGGTTACGTAACTACATTTGATTATACACTATGAATATTTGTATAAATATCGACATAGAAGCGTTTTTGGCTACTCGCCTTTTGGACAGCCGTTGTCTTGTTGGTGACCAAACTTATTATTAGTTCCTAAGTTAGTCTAAAGCTCTAATCCTCGGAGCTCGATACACTGCATTCGATTGAGGAGTACGTTCCCAGTTTTTTTTTTTTTTTTTTTTTTTTTTTTTTGTCCCAATGGGTTTTTTATTCCGGGTTTTCGAACCGGGTAGTGTATCATTCCTTTGATTCAACTTTCTGTCGCGTTCCATATTATTTAAATGTTCGTTTATGTAGAAATTGTATTATTTCTGTAATTTTTTTATATTACTTTTAAGATCATTTGTATTGTTGAACTGTATTGCTAAGATATCTTGTCAATAAAGCACGCGCTGGTCTATTGTGTCTATTAGGTACCCAGCAAGAGTCACACTCCATATACGTCATTGTGTTTTCATTCCGGCGCTTTGCGCGCTGTGCGGAGGGTAGTAATGAGATTAGGACGCCTCGTCTGCTTGCTTTGCTTTATTTCTGTTTTGTTTGTTTGTTTGTCTCAATATAGCTCAGAGTTAAAATCAATATTTATCTTATGCACAAAGTTCTTGAATATCACCAGGAAGACATTAACCTATGTTTAGCAATGTAGCTGCAGAATTGGTTCCTGTTCGGAATCTTGCCATAAAAAAAAAACATCACAGGGATAGATCTCTTATTTTTTTCTGTCCACGTCTGACATTATCGTCATTTTGAACTGTTGACGACGATGCTCCTGGACTTGTAGTTAAAGTCACCGGTGCCGTTACTCCGTATCTCCTGAACGCTATCGTGTTTGATACCTTGTTCGATAATACGATACCTAACATTTTAACTGCACGGTTAAAAACAGAACTCATAATAGGGATCCAATATGTATACCTACAACCCATCCGGGAACTTGGTTTCAGTAGATGGGCATTATCAATAATGGGCTCGATTTAAAAATGTCACTGAATCGCAAACTCTATAAATAATTTCAGGGGCACTCAAGGACGGTTTCCTGCTAAAAGTACTGAAAACACGTTTAAGCTATCTAGTACCTTTCGATCTCTAGAAAGCCGGCATTTTTAGCGGCGCTATAAAAATATGGTATCTGTTTGGTCATCTTAGAGCAACTTGAGTCTTTTCGAAATTATTATAAAGGCTTCAGTATTATTTTCCAGAAAATTCCAAACGCAATTTAAAGTTTACGAAACTGAGAATTCTTCTGATTCCTCTCTCCATCGCCTTTTCGAATCCGAAAATTTTAGGTTTCCTTTTTCTACGAAATATAGCTTAACCTGGGCGTAGGAAAATTTACTTAAATAAGCTTCTAAATTAGTAGTCATCTAGAAATTTTTAGCATTTCTCAAGCTATAGAAAATTCTAGGCAATTTTTGCTTCTCCGAACAGATATTTTACAGAAAGCAGTCGTTGCCTGTCAGTAATTTGCATAAGCTTTTCTCTATGTTCCGGGGAGGGGGGGCTGTACTGGTCAGTTCTGGTGGGGGTAGGGTGTGCGCTATATGTTGTTAAGAGAGCTGGGTTTGAAAGAACACAAAACCTTACCGTATTTTATATCCACACGATTAAATTCAATACCCAATTTCAAAAGGAAGGGCTGCACATACCGACACAGCTTATATAAGGGAGTACCCTGCTGACCTCCCTCCCTTCTGGGCTCTGTGTATCACAGACTGTTGCTCAACCGACTATACTTTCATTCACTATGCTTCCATTCTTTTATTTTAAAGACGGTTGCCTTTGCACAAGAAAGCTTGCTTTGCATAATTCAAGGACATTTCTTTATTGCTAAACAGAAGCTCTAAAAAAGTTTTTCGCGCTCAATTCGTTTCCTCGATAAAGCTCATTATTACGTCTGTTAAGCAAAACGGAATGTTCTCAGACAGATATCGAATATCATATCTAGTGGCATTTCCTGATAATATACTTAAAAGGAATTTGACTTGCTGTGACAAGTCGAGATTTTTACGTTACCTTCGACGAGTGTTCAATCTTCCGTTCAAAAACTTTCAGTTTGGATTTAAAGGAAAACGTAAATTCCCCTTATACTTCGCCCAAGGATTGAGATACATTACGGACGAAATTGCGAGAAATTAGAAGAGGAGCTATTAGTATATTATTAAGAAGAAAGGAAGGGTAAATTTTAAGAAAAAATCTCAAAATAAGTTATCTTTCATTAAACGAACTTTCCGGTATTGAAGCAGAAGTAATGTGTTCTTAAATAAGTTTCCTTTTGGACAGAAAAATTATTGAATGGTTTCTGTTTAACGACACGCGATACTACAGCGGAATACGTCTGAGAATATAACATGATTTTTCAAAAGTATTTCGGCCAGGGAAAGATCTGTTACAAGAATAAACCCAGACAATTTACCCTTACCGAAAAATGATGATGCGACGCTGCATTGAGTTACATCTTCCACTGACCGAACTAGTTTTGTATTCGGTAACACCACCCATTCCGGAGTCCATATAATCTATATCTATACAGCATTACAGAATATACCATATGTGATGGTAGGAAAGAGTATTTCCCAGAATATGATATGATTGGAAGTAAATCGACTAGGGAAAGATTTATCACAGGAATGAATCAAAATTCACCCTTACAGAAAATGATGGAAGACGGGTTACGTCTTCCTCTGCACTTGGCATATAAGGAGGA